TCTCAAAAAAAAAAAAAAAAAAATTAGTACTGACAATTTGATTCTAAAAACATGGATTAAATGAATAGAAGTCAATAACAAAGTTTTCATTAAATTAGAAAGGATCATTTTGTTTTCAGAGTTTTTATTCTATTTTCGTAATGAAACACCATGGCCCCAAGGAACAAAATTGTTTTCTAGTGTGTGGCAGTCAGTGTGTTAAAGGTTGCGTGGTATTCTGAGTAAAAGTGTTTTATAATGATTTAACCATCAGGTATATATTTTATCAAAATGTCTGAAAGAATCATCAACAGTAATAATTACTAGAGCTTATTCAGTGATTACTGTTGCCAGACTCTGTTTTACATATGCTACCTTGTCAGACTTTGCAATAATCCTGTGAGAACAGGTACTGTTATTTTCCCCATTTAAAGATGAGGGACTGAGGCATAGAAATTAAGTCATATATAAAAGTTGCAAGGCTGGTTGGAGTTAGAGCCAGGATTCAAATCCAGGAAATCTGGCACCATGGTCTGTACTCTGAACCTCTCTGCTACTCTGCCTTTATCAGAGACCTTCAATTACACTGATCTAGAGTAATCTAAATCCAGAATGGAATGTGAGTGATTAGTTCTTTCTTAGGGGAATTGTTCAGACAGTCCGGAGCACTGTTAAGCAGGGTTGTTATAGAGGAAATGAGGAACTCCATTAGTGGCCCTTAGATGCCAGTCCATGGACCCACTGTCTCAGAATCACCCAGGGAGCTAATTAAAAGCCATAAATTCCAAGACCCAAACCCAGGGGTTCTTACTCACTAGGTCTGGGGTTGGACCCAGGAATCTATATTTTTAACAAGCTCTCTAGGTGATTGTGATACTCAACCTGGTTTGGAAACTCTGGAATTGGTGATCTTTTATTCCCACATTATCTTCTAGTACAAAATGGTAAAGGGAGACTTTAGGGGTTAGAAGTCATCAATTACTTTAGGTACATACCTTGAAGGTCTTTTGAGATTGTTAGCATTGGCTGTTTTTGTCTAAGAGAATATAATAGGTGCTAATAAATATATGTCAATTTGAATAATCGTGATCCCTGCTGTATAACATTATTCAGTTTATAAAGATCCATCACTTTATCAAATTTAAACTAATCTCCATCAGTAAATTATTTATTGAGCATGTGCTACTTGTGACGTATAGCAATAAAAAATATAGTCCCTGTGCTTGAGGGGCTCATAGGTGAGATGGAGTAGACTGCAGAGCAGTGCAGAGCAGTACAGAGCAGCATATACCAGAGCCAAACAAGTAGTGTAGGTCGGGAAGGCTCTAGGGGGTCTGGGAGAAGCTATCCTGTATCTAGGTGTACTCTGGATCTGTGTGGGAGGAAGAGCCAGACCTTGAAAGGAGACTCAGGGAAGCTGCAGGAAGGAGCTCCACAGCAGTAATGCTGTGCCAAGCCTCGTGTTTCTAAGGACAACTGTTTGCTCTGCAGCGCTCTGTGGAGGCTGTTCATCCTCCCGAAGCTTCTGAATCTCAGAGCAGTCCATGTCCTTTATTTCCCATTTCTTCTAAAGTAATTGCTTTGATCCTGGCTGGGACGTGACCATTCCCACAGGTGATCTATCCCACTCCTGAGCCTCTCAATTCTTTGACCTCTTCATCTTACACTTTACTCACTTCACCGCCCAAATTCCCAGAGTCCATATCCAGTTTTGCCGTTGGCCCAGTATATTCCTTCCGGAATCAGGAATCAGACCCAGCATTCTCTGGCCGCCACCTCTCATTACCACAACTTGTATCTGTTTTTCTTGAACACCTCCTGACCTGTGACCCCTCTGCTTTTTCACTCTCCTCTGACCCTCTATCTAGAGCACTTCCCTTCCGTTTTTGATTCCTGTTTATTCTTCAGGTCCTGCTGCACACCTCACTTTCTCACGAAGGCTTTCTACAATAAGGTTAGCTACCCATGGTGAGTCCTGTGGCATCCTGTATTTTCCCTTGGGTAGCATTGAGTATATTTTTAGTTAGCGTCTATATCCTCTGCCAGACAGCTTCGTGAAGGCAGAGACAGTGTCTGTAGTGGTGCTTGAATATGAAAATGTATACTTCTAGTCTAAAACTTAGTGGTGGGGAAGGGTGGGAAGGAAGGAGATGGTAGGATAAGAAATAAGGCAATATTAGAATAAACTGAAGGTGTGGGGGCTTTTTGTTTTGTTTTCCCTACAAAGAGAACAGGCCTCTAGCTCAGAGCCTTAAGCTGATGGTAGTATCTCTGGAAATTAATAACACTGCTTTGTTTTCATTGTCTTTATGTGTACAGTTACTTTTATCCACAAAAGTCACAAAAGTTTCCTTTTAAAATAAATGTATAAAAGTAAAATAATGAGTTGATTTAAAGAAAAGGCATAAATGATAATTTGGTATATGGATATAGAAAAAAAATCATGACAGCAGAAGGAATGAATGAAGTTTGGATAATAATGACTTGGATGAAGCCACAGTAACTCCTTATCGAAGACCTGAAGAAAGCCTGGGGCATTTTTCCAACACACTCATAGCCTATTGCCATGGAGAACCACTAGTCTAGAATAAAGGACAAAATCATATCTACTAATTATTGTATATCTTATAGTGAAACTTGGGAGCTTACAAGTCAAGCCCCTAGCATAGTGTCTGACTTAATGCAGTCATTCAATAAATGTTACTTTCATTGTTTCCGCCCATAAGCCTATCCTGAAAAAGAGAGACCAAGTTCTAATCAGGTCTACTGCTAACTTCTAGCATAATCACTAAGGAGCAAGTCACTGTGAAGTGAATAGATTAGATCATTTCTAAAGTCCTCTTCAATGCCCAGTCTTTGTTTCCTTTAGTGTCATTTTATGAAGAAGTGGAAATAAACACATGTTCAATCTATCATGCATAGCCAAAGTTTAAAGTTTTTTGTTTTACTCTAAATAGTCTAGCTTTAAATTTTAAAGCTTTGGAGAATTATTTATTGTCACTATTCAACTATCCTTTCAAGGGCTAATGAAAATTAAATGACATTTACATCTTATTGTAATTCAGACTTTGAGAAGTTCAATGGCAAAATGCAGTGATTCATCGCTTTTTATGTTCTGTGATCACACTGCCTTCATGTAAGTATAAAGGAGAGTAAATGTCATTTCCAAAAGTAATTATCTTGGGTCTTTACAGGAATAAAGCTAGGTGTTTCATCTAATATTTGATAGATGTAGAAGTTGAAATTTTTCTTTGAGAGTCTGGTTTTTAAGGGGAGAATCAAATTACCAGGAAGATGATCATAAACACATAGGCTCTTCGACTGGGATGTTACTTTGCTTTTTATTCATGATATTTTCCTCTTTTTTAAAATATGTCTAACAATCTTTCCCTCTAGTTTTATATCTGCATTTCTACCAACTAGACATTTAAGATGTTAATTCTTCCCTTAGCTAATTTTACAGACTTTGAGCGAGAGATTTGGTATGCTTACAAACTGTTAACTGTACTGTACTTTGTCTCTTGGTATTAAAGAAACTTAAAGGAAAATTCTTTTGTCTAACATTCTTGCCCAAGAGGGAGGGTCTATAACCTCAGAAGTCAATAGCTTTATTTATGTATCTGCAGTAAGTGTAATTTTCTTTCGAATATTAAGTAAAACTACCTTAAGTGTCCCTGCATTATTTATGTATCTATGTACTCGAATTACTCAAATTTTGAGTTCCATGGTTATGACTATGATGTGCCAGTTGATTTACATTATTGATATGATAACAGATGGTAATGGTGCAGGTTGAAATAAAAGATCATTAAGCTAAATATTTTAGCCTTCATTGGCTCCCTGTTGCATAGAATTTGTCAGAGTGAAATAGAATCATAGCATTTCAGAACTGGAAGAGTCCTTAGAGATTATCTCATCCAGTCCCTCATTTGACACATGAGGAAACAGAAGCCCAGAGAGAATGCTACTTGCCAAGGTTGTACAGCTGGTTAGTAGCAAACCTAGGACCAGAATCTAGGTCGGCCATTTTCCAGTTCAGTGCTTTTTTTACTGTCTCTATGTGAGATTTTTAGGTAGTATTCTCTTTAATTACTTCCTGATGTCAACACCAATTATTCTAATCAATTTCATATCTGTTCATTTCTGGAACATACAGAGTTTCACCCCATTATAAGTCTTGGTTGGTTAAACTTTTATATTTGGCTTTCTTTTAGGTTCATCTCCACTCACATCTTTTAATCTTGAAGACTATAGAATACACCTGGATCTACCACTTTTTTGGAAAATTTCTCTACCAAGCAATAAGCTACCCACTGTGCTCTTATAGTATAGAAGCTTTTGAGTTCTCTAAATTGAAACAAGATTTCCTTCTATTTTCCCATGAAGCCACATTGTTGCTTATTCACTTTAGTGGTGAGTGTCATTGTGCCAGCTGCTTTTGTTTTGGAAGATGTGGACTTCAACCAAATGGCCCCACTGGGAGAAAATCATAGTGCTTACAATGCATCATTTCCCTCAAGCTTTGAACTCTCACCAAGTTCCCACTCAGGTGATGATGTCATCATAGCGAAAGAGGGAACTAGTGTTTCAATGGAGTGTCTTCTCACAGCTGGTCACTATGAAGATGTCCATTGGTACAACTCAAAAGGACAGCAACTGGATGGCAGAGGCAGAGGTAACTGTGTCAGGGTGTAATTAATCAAGGTTACTCATTTCTGTCTTCTTGGTTTTTAAGTTAATCAAAAAATCTCAAAGATGAGGTGACGGTGAATAGTTTAAAACTTTTGAAAGGCCTAGAGTATTAGACCTGTCAGAAAAAGCAAAATAATTATAATTATTTAACCAGAAGAAGAAAAGAAGAATAGTTATACATTTAAAAAATGTTTACATGACAGTGAGATATTTTCTTTCCTCCTGATGAGTTGGTTTCCTTCTTCACTGAATGTAGACTAAATCAGGGTTGTTTCATACAGCTGTGCAGGTAGTGTACTGCACAACTCCAGGGGTACCATTCACCTAGACTGCTACTAAATAGTACAGTGTGGTGCCCTGTATGAAAACATCAAGAAAGCTCTTAGCTAGACTTCAGAAAATTTGTTACGAATAAAATATTTTTTGCTCTGAAATGAATTACTATAAATGTTAGAAGAAATCTAGGGCATTTTTTAAAATGAGTATAAATCTATGCATAAAATTTTGATGTTAGATCTCTGAGCATTAGAAGGGCATTATGGAACTCTGTAAGCCCTTCCAGCTCATTTTTTCTACTCTATACCTTAATTTACTTGAAAAGAGGAAAGTTTCTCTTTTATTTTTTTGTTTTTTCAGTCTTAAAAATCAAAGAGATATAATGATAATGTGACCGAGGTCTACATTTTGACAGATTTTTATGTAATTTTGCTATTTGTGGATCTGTGAACACATCCTAATCCAGACTACTATTTCTTTAACCAGTGTTGTGTTACAGAGATTTTTTTCATGTGTACTTGAGTTATAATGTACCTCAAAAAGAAATCACCGTGAAAAGCCAAAGGGATGAAGAATAAATTCTGAGATCCTCACAAACTTTACTTTCAGGAAAGTCTACCTTATCTTTTTTTGCTAGAAAGATAGTGTAACCTCTTGAAATATAAAGGATATTGGTTATTCATATTAGAGTGGAAAATAGAAAAGTACAAAGGTGTTATTTCCTTCAGAAGTACATGCTAAACATCTTGACCATTTACAGACTGAGTAACTGGTCACCAGGGGATTGAAGAATTTGAGTTAGAAAGAACAGAGTATTTTTAATGAGCTTGTTAAAAATACAAACCTATTGAATCGGAATCTCCAGAGTGGTACCTAGAGTGTGTATTTTCAACATGATTTGGGGTTCCATATTTTTTTTGGGGGGGTTCCATATTTGGACCCACTGAACTAGATTCCTATCTCCTCTGGGTTCTAGGATATCCTGATCAAACACATCCGAGATTTGAATTATTCAATCAGTGTAATCACTTTAGACTAACTGTATAAACAAAGCCTTAGGTTAGGACAAGACCAGCCAAGTGGAATGGCAGTTTTATTTTCCTATTTCGCGTTTACTCTGAAAACCGCTAACATCTATCATTGATGCTTTCAGCAGCAGCTCTGGAAAATTGTATTAAGTTTTATGAATCTCAAGTGAGAAGAGTTTAAAGAGCTTGTCAGTCTAGTATAAGGTTCATAAATCTTGAGCTATTATCAGCAAGTGAGCTAGAGAGTTTGTGGTTGTAGTGCAGTGGCTGATGAATGGAGTCTGTGTAGTTCATCATAGCTTGGATTCAAAGGGTATCCTTTTCATAGCTGTAAGTTAGAAGAGAAGCTTATGGTGTAATGACTATATTCATAACTACATATTTTCCTCCTTTTTGCATTAGCGAAGTGATGGCTCTTAAAAATAAGTGTACCTATAGAATTTAAATAAGTTTTGATGATGATAAAAAATGGGCACAATCTTGAGTGCCCACTAATTTATGTGCTACTAACATAATCCAGAACCATAGAATCTCAGGGATGAAAGAGATTTTGAAGATAGGGCATTTAGGTGATACTTAACAAGCAGTCACTCAGCATTTCCTGGGATACCACCTCCAGTCATTGGAACACACACCCACACCCCAGGTTAGCCCATCCATCCCATCTTTGAATGGCTTTCATAGTTAAAGCACAGAGTGCTCTGGGAATTTACCACAAAGGTAAGAATTATGCAGGCAGAGCCAAGTTATTAAAGAATGTTGAATCAAGGTGAGTGGTCACTATGCTTTTCATAAACCTGTATACTTGTTCCCTGAATGAAGATACCTTCACGTATGGAAGAGAGGCAGCATGTTTTAGGTTTAAAACAGAAGCATAGCCATCTTAAGGGCAACTTTATTCTCTTTGCCAAGTTGTTTATTTATCATAACTTGTGAGATGTATCTTTTGGCTCGTGCTTCAGTTACTCTTGCCAAGAAATCAAGATATCATCAACAAACCTTTGGTAACAAAACAATATGTGCAAGGCATATGAGATTAGCCAGTTAGTAATTGAAAAAATATATTCAATTATTAGGTTTTTTTAAAAAAGAACTTTTTTTCTTGTTATGTAAGTTCACTATGGAAAGTGAGCAGTTAAAAAAAGAAAATAAAAATTATAACAATTTAAAATACCATTATTTTAAACCATTGTTTTATATTTCTGAGACATATTTTTCTAATATCTGAAAATGTATAGAGATTGTGATGTCAGCACACATACACATATAAACTTTTTTTTTAAGATTAGTCATTTGGCATTATGTAGACATACCTGTCTCACTGAAAGGCTTTTTATGCTTGGCAGTAAAAAAGAGGCTGTGGTAATTATTAATCTGTCAGGAAGGAAGATCTTGATTTCCTTTTTAAGTTCCAAACTAATTAAATTCTGACTATCTACCCTTTTTCACATGATTGGAATGAACAGGAGAATCTAACAGATGAGTTAAGGTACTTTCCTTAAGAGGCAGCTGGCATATTTAGTAATAATATTCTTTATGCTATAATTTTTTTTTCATTTGTCGGATTATCAGGTGGAAAATGGTTGATTTCTGATAACTTCCTAAACATCACCAACGTAGCCTTTGATGACCGTGGGCTCTATACGTGTTTCGTCACCTCTCCAACTCATGCCTCCTACTCTGTCACCCTACGTGTTATCTTCACCTCAGGAGACATGAGTGTGTATTACATGATTGTTTGCCTGATCGCCTTTACAATCACTCTCATCTTGAATGTCACACGGCTGTGCATGATGAGCAGCCATCTTCGCAAGACCGAGAAGGCCATCAATGAATTCTTTAGAACTGAAGGGGCTGAGAAACTTCAGAAGGCCTTTGAGATTGCAAAACGCATCCCCATCATCACTTCAGCCAAAACTCTGGAGCTCGCCAAAGTCACACAATTTAAGACCATGGAGTTTGCACGTTATATTGAAGAACTGGCAAGAAGTGTTCCTCTTCCACCCCTCATCCTAAACTGTAGAGCTTTTGTGGAGGAAATGTTTGAGGCTGTGCGAGTGGATGACCCTGATGACATGGGAGAAAGAATTAAAGAGAGACCGGCTTTGAATGCTCAAGGTGGCATATATGTCATTAACCCAGAGATGGGGCGGAGTAATTCACCAGGAGGAGATTCAGATGATGGCTCTCTGAATGAACAAGGCCAGGAGATAGCAGTTCAGGTTTCTGTCCACCTTCAGTCAGAGACCAAAAGTATTGATACAGATTCTCAAGACAGCAGTCATTTCAGCCCACCTGATGATATAGGATCTGCCGAATCTAATTCTAACTACAAAGATGGGACATATGAAAACTGTCAGCTGTAGGCTATCCCAGTACCTACAAAAACAACTCTCAGAAAAGGAACCTGTTTCTTGGAAGAAACAATATTCTTACCAAAAGATGACTGGGGTTTTCCCTTTGTTAATATTAAGCACATGAGAACGTGAATTGCCAAAATCTTTGTAAAAATGCAGTGGTTTTCCTATCTGATATTACTCAGTCGATTTCCCTGAGCTTGAGTAAATGATGCATGTTAAGATTTAAGGAGCCTGAGAGATAAACATGATAGGAAAAGTACTTAACTAAGAGTCCATGGTTTCTCTTCTAGTCACAGATATTCCATTGGTACTGTCGGACACTTAGCTTGAGGCCTCAGTTTCCCCATCAGTAAGATGCAGGATTTGCATTAGATGAGATCTGAAGTGGTTTCTAGCCCCATAACGTCTTACCCTTCACCTTAAACCACCAAAATCTTCAGCACATCTCCAAGTAAACCTTTCCCTAGACTTTTGGTCCCTTCATTTGGAAAGAATCAAGCTTAAACTTTAGTCTGTGATCCAGATTTCGACACCAATGTCATAAGGTGCAGGAGTATGGGTGTTTTTTCGATACTTTGCCTTGTGGAGTGTTCAATGATATGTGCTAGGTTGAATGTCTTCAATGTAGCACATGTCTATATTGTTATACAGATATCAGGGAGCTAACTGCTCTTTTGTAAACTACTTTCCATGAGTAAATTAATCCTTCTTGGGGGCATGTCGTGTCTTTTTAACTTACTGAGACATCATTTAGTTCAGTGAGGCTGGCAGTGATTTCCCAACTGATCTCCTGAAGCGAGCGATTTGTTCCTAAGGAATAATGTCTTTGATGCTTTTAGAATAAGAACAATGTCAAATCATCTGTCTCTGGAAAATCATGGATTTTGATATTTCTGTTAATAGGATGTCTCAGGCTTTCCTTTTTTAAAGTACTGGGCTCTACAAGTGGGTTCTATGTCTGGGATCCCATTCTAGGATAAAACCCAGAGCTGGATTCCTCCTTAGACCTCTGTCAACACTCTCACCCTCTGTGGTCTTAAATATGGTGCTAGCGGTTGAATGCTTCCTAATCTTGTTTGTTTTGTTTTATATTTTGTTAAGGTTTTTATTTTTGTGTATTTCAGATATATAATTCTGAACTAGGGCTGCTTTTCTGGCCTTTCTGAGAAGCGCTTACCTGAAATAAGATTAGGTAACTGTGAGGGTATGTCACACATATTAAAATACACACACACACACACACACACACACACACAAATGATCTAGACATGAAGAGGGAGAAAAATGATGGAAGACTCCACGTGGTTCAATTGTGTGTAATAAACACGATGGCATTTCTTGCCTCGCTGAGATATGATATAATGGAATTGAAATACTCATCAGAACAATTTTTTCAGCTACAGGAAGCTTGGTGCCCTATAATTTTAAGAACTTGGCAGTGGAGCTCCATTTGGGGCTTCACATTTCTTCATTTGACTTCTGATTATTGAAGCATTACTTGAACTGGAGGCTCCTGAGGGAAATGTTCAGGGGAGGTTTTATCAGGATTTTAATTTAAGGTTTCAAACAGAGGAAGACAGGAAATTCAACGTGTGACCAGATAGAACTTAGGCCTTTCTTTGTCCAGGCTTATCAGAAGTAATATGTCTGCTCTGGATAGCATGAATGAATCGATGTGCAGTTTTATCAGATGGCATTACAGATAAAGTGATAATGCTGCCTTTTCTGTCTCTCAGGCTGTTTCCATGGAAACCTTCAGAGCCAAACAAAAGCTAACCAATCATTTAGCCAATGCTTGCCTTGGTTCATAGACCGCTGTTTCTTTAAGGAAAACTGTTTTCATGTATTTGGCTATGAGAGCAAGGGCTCTTGAACATATCCTAAAGTATAGAACACATTTTCCCTTCTCACAGTGTTTCTCTTAAAAAATAAAAATTCGTTACATCCCTTGTCTGAGGTCAGTCCTCTGGGCATCCCTCAGATCTTCAGATAGTACCTTTAACCCTGTCCTAACATACTAGGTTTGGGATCATCCCTTAGGAAGTCGCTTGTCACATTAAAAAGAATGGTTTTACCCTACTTGTTCTCATAAGAAACATTAGTGTTTGGAACCCTAGGTAGACATATTTAATGATCAAAATCCTGGGAAACAGAACTTTGAAAAAATATAGGAAATATTTTTTAAAATCTGTGAGTTTGCACAAATAATATACAATAATTAAATACAGGCTACTCCATTGTATCCTGGATAAACTATTTTAGAAACATAATGATGACCTAATTTGGTAGCTAAAGTAACTGGTTTACTTTGAATGTTCCAGTTTATGGTGCCATCGATGAGGAATTAAAGTAGGTCAAAATTTAATTGGACTTGGTGTTATTTTGTAAAGCTAGTTTTCAAGAAGGAGAAAACCATACTTAACTAATATTTTCTGTATCTAATCAAATACTCTTCATACATAGTTAACAGTCTTATGTTATCTTTTTGTTAAATCCTTAACCTTTTGAACTTAAACTACAGTCTAAAAGTCTTTTGATAGTAACTATAGTGTAATTATCTTTTTGACTTACTGGATTTTATAGTTAGTGAAAAATGCCTTTACCCAAAAAAAAGTTTTTAAAATAGTTCTGTCATCTCATTTGTAAATTTTATCTTGTATTGTTGTTTAATGAACCTTACTGTCCTTATGAAATGGTAGCTTTGTGAAATACATTTACCAAAAATCAACATTTAAACATCTTTATAAATTCTTTACCAGTTGAAGTGAGATACACAAGTATCTTTTGAGTTGATACTCCCCTTCAAGTTTATAGGCAGCTTGATAACCACCTTACTGCAAAGTTGCATCTGTTATGATGGTTTAATTCCTGAGTCAGGGCCAGGGAGCATTTATATTGCTACCAACTACTTTGATATAAATACCTTGGAGTTGCCGACCTAGAATGTTGTGACAAGGCTCCCGGCTGCTTCTTTGCCTCACATCTATATTAAGATCAGAGCAATATCTGCACACAGCTTTCCCTTTGGTCCTCCAGACACAAGGAGCCCCCTGGTCCAGTGCTCTCCACACCCTGCATGTATTTTCACCTTAGATCAGACTTTGTCTCTTGGGTCCCAAATGGCACAGGAGCACAGCATGCTTGTTTTCTAGAGCCCAGCCAGTCATGGGTGCTAGCCTAGTCTTCACACACCAGCAGTTGTAACGCAAGTGTATTGTATTTCCTGAGTCACCAGTAAGAGAATGCGGTCTTTTCTCATCTAGGCCAGGAGTACCAAAAATACTCAGCATTATAGAGAAATTCCTAGGTTCTCATTAACACATTTCAGAAGGTAAACGAGTATTATTTGATATGGTTCAGATGATGTTTAAATGGTCAGCATTTCAATAAATACTTGTATTATAATTTTGTCTCCTTTTTTAAAGTCATACTTGAATGTAACGTATTAAATGTTCACTGGAATGTATTTCGCCTGTCTGAAATTTTTATAGAGTATATTTCATTTTTATATGTGATGGAATTTGATGTTAATTTTAAACAGGAGTAAATTTGATTTCAACTTGGATTCCACCATGACTATGCACTTCAACCTTACGAATATTAATATTTACTAAGTATTGTGGATGTTTTTGGTGCTACGAGCCATACTGAGATGGGGATGCTGCCCACAGTAAGTCTGCGGATACCAGACTATCCTCTGTAGGCCCAAATACAGCAATTTCCCACTTCAGAAATGAAGCATTCCCGGCAAAGGCAAGAGCTTGAGCAAAGGCCTAGAGATGAGAGGATTTATTTCATGTTTTGGAGAGCATGTGATTAGTGTGTAAAGTTTATGATGAAATTTGGCAAGTGGGAGAGGCAGCTCTGGTAGAAGCAAGTCTGCGGTCCGGTAGGGGTAGAGGGCAGTGATGAGAAATGGACGTGGGTAAGCATGAGTATTAGGAGAAAGGCAAAGGAAACAGGTGGGAGGTGTGACTCATTACTTAAATGCCACAGATTCCTTAGAATGAAAACCCAGCCCCTGTCTTCCTCTGGGAAAAGATTGCTAGACTTGGAATCTTTATTTTCACCACTAGCCTGTAACTGTGGGCAAGTGACTCAGCTTTTCTAGCCTTCAGTAAAATGGAGTTGATAATACCAACTCACAGAATTGACATGACGATTAAATACAGCAACATATAAGCAAACGCTGTATTAGCAATAATATGCCATACAGTGTAAGGGGCTTGTAATGCAGCCAGAACGTCAGCTTTATTAGCAGCCACATCCAGCTAATGACTAGGGTTGCATATGTGGTCAACTAAAAATTCCTCCACACTTCTCTTACAGAATTGCGTTTGGCTTCATGCCATAGAAACCCAATTATGGCAGCTTATCCAAATAAGAGATTTATTTTCCTCAAATAAGTTCAGAGATTGGCAGTCTGAGGCTGGTGTAGGGGCTCAAGGACCGGCATCAGGGAGATGATTCAAGATTCCTCTCCATCCTTAGCATGTGGCTTTCATCTTCAAGGTCATAAGATGTCTTAGGTTGAGTTCCTCCAGAAGAGTTCCTGAGACAGATTTGTGTACAAGTAGTTTATTTGGGAGTTAGGTGATCCCAAAAGGTAGGGGAGTGGGGACGTGAGGGAGGAGGAGAAAACCAACACAGGATGCATTAATGAATGTATTAACTGCTGTGGGCAATGTGTTCAGAACCACTAGGGCGCTCTCTCTGCCCTCAGTGTATGTAGCTCATGCCCCAGAGGTGTCCTGCCTCAAAGCCAAGGAGCTGGGATATTTATCCACCAACTCCCATCTGTCTTTAGCTAAACCCTTCTCCCGGGGTCATTAACTCGCTGGCACTTTCAGCCTGCCATCTACGGGCTAAGCATGATCCTGTGACCAAGCAAAAGCCCTCGGGTAGAGAATCACAGGAGCTTTCTATAAGAATCCTGTGGTGAATACATTAATAGTAATGATAAGTGTCAAGGAATTAATGGGCAGGGCACTGACAGCACCTGCTATACATCTTCAGCATCATGTCTACATTCCAGGCAGGGAGAAACGTAGACAGTCAACGGACAGACAACACATAGTAGCTGAATCTGTACCTTTTTATCAAGAAAGCAATAGCTTTCCCAAAGCCTCACCCAACTTCTACTCAGCAGCCAGAACTGGGTTATGTGACTGTCTGCTGTAGCTGTAAGAAAGCCTGAGGAGATGAGCATGGATATTTTTAACTCAACACATTGTCCCAAAGTTTGGGTTTCTGTTAAGAAAGGAGGGAAGAAAGGAAGTTGTAGACAACAGGTAATGTGTGACAAGGTCATCTTCACATGAATTACAGGAACAAAATGTGGTTCTGTGGTGGATAAAATTGAAAACCATGTTCCTTGAAGATAATCACATGCATGAACAAAGCAAAAATCAGAAGCGGTAAATGTTAGGCTAAATCTTCAAGCCATCGCTTACATTGTCTCCAATACACGTGGCTCAAACAGAAGACAGGCTATGAGATTCTGCTGGGGGCATAATTGGCTTATCTTAACCTATTGATTGATTAACACATTTACTGACCACCTGCTACGTGCCAGGTGCTCTTCCATGAGCCAGGGCCTCTGCAGTGATAGTGACTGGCAGGGTGTATGTATAATCGGGAGTCAGAAAAACCTCTCAAAAGAGGGCATTGTGCTGAGACCCAAATGATGAAGAGCCAGACATTCAAAGATTAGGAGGAGGGGTACTCCACGCAGAGGAAAGAGCAATGACGACGTTGGCCTGTTAGAGAAACAGAAGAAATAGTCCTGTGTGTCTGGTGAGGGGAGACAGAGAGGCAGGGGCCAGAAATATCATTAGATTTCAAAGTCCCTTTCGGCTGGCCCCAGAAATAAATTTCTTAGAAGAAATGCTAGTATCTAATTTGTAAAAGAATATTTACATATTTAGGGGGGAACATTTGATCATTCAGTACTGCTGTTTTTTCCTGAAGTCATCTGCACTAAAAAACAATCGTACTAATTTTCTTTAAGGAATTAAACTTCTTCAGAGCCTGTTAAATTCTAATCATGTTCTTGAGTTTTCATGTTTTTGCTGGAACCTATTGATTAGGAAATATATATATGTAAATACACATATGTCACTCCATCTGCCTAGAGGATCTGTGGCTGCTGCCAGTGTGCTTATTCTTCCTGACAGTTGGAACACTCTGCTTTGCCTCCAGCTCAGCTGTGCAAAAGGGAGGACTCAAGTGTCCTAAGTGATGATAAATCAGCATTTAAGGGGCCTCCTTCGGATAGAAGCGCCACCCTCTGGAAAATAGTTTGCCCCTAAGCAGAAGGGAAGTTCATCAGAAGAAAGTCCTTCTGATGTAGTATTTTTGCAGTGCGAGTTGCATTGCTCTTTCAGAAACTGCAAGCAGACGTTGTACCATTCCTAAGGCTACTCCACTCATAGCCCTTTGACCCCTTGAACACCTAAGACCGTACCTATTCGTTTAATTTTCAGCAAATGTTTCTTGTACGTAAACTGGGGACACTACCATGAGCAAAACTAGTTGTGGTCTCTGCTCTTTGAGAACTTATAGCCTGTGGAAAACCAGATCCAATTCAAATAGTCACATCTAGGGTGTATAGTTAAGAACTGAGCAGTGCTCTAGGCTCTCTCTATGAGAGCCTAGAACAAAGGAGCCTGATCCAATTGGAGGTCAGAAGAATTTCCTTAAGAGGTGATACTTGAAGCACCAGGCATTGCATGAGGGTTTATTATGTTTCTTGCCTTGAGCCAGGATTTGAGTCATAGATCCTGCTCGAAA